CCAGCTGGGGAGCAGCACATAGACACGAAAGAGCAGGCAGCCCCTGCACACTGCGGAGCACCCTGAGCCCCAGGCAGCTGCTCCTGGGCTGGTTGGGGAACAGTGTGCCGAGAGGAAGGAAGGCACCCCTAGGCTGGCTGCTTCGCTATCTCCGCCTGCCTCAGCATGGGGGCTCCACTGCAGTCTCTGCGCTGAAGCACACCCCAGGGAGCAGCCAGCCCAGGGCTGCCAGCTCCCCTCTCGAGGCACGCTAGCTGGGGTGCTAGGTGCCTCAGTGTGGGGGCTTCGTAGCACACGGAGAAGGGGGAGCTGTTTGCTCCCCCATTTCCATGTTTGTCCCAGTGCACCAGACTTTGGCCTGCTTTGCACCACTTGTTTCTTTGGAGGTTTTTGTCATTGTTGTTTTTGCTACCAGGAAATCCCAGTAGCAAATTTTGCCCCAGCACTGCAAATTAAACCATGTGCTATGCTCCTAATGTGCAAGGTATCTGGTTTGTGGCACCGCAAAGAGGTTTTGCAGCGCTAGAAACTGCACATGCCTGCACATCTGGACTCAGCCCCATAGTGCATCCCACCCAGGCTTGGCAACTGGAAAGCATCTGCCTTCTCCAAGCAATACCTAACCTGTTCTGCCACCAATCTAAACTGAATGTCTCTTCTCCTATCTTTTCTGCCAACTACATTCATCATCCAATAGCTGCCTCTATCTGTGAAGAGTGAGGTAAAAATGGCCTTAAATACTCACTTCAACCTTACCTGCATCATCTATAACCAGATTGCCTCTTGCATTCCATACATGACTTATGGTTTTTCCTGGTCTTCCTCTTACTTTTGACATGTATAATCCCTTTTTATTGCCTTTTGAACTCCTTGCCAACTGCAACTCAAATTGTGCCTTGGCTTTCCCAATTTTCTCCCTGTATGCCCATACAATATTATTATACTCCTCCCTAATACTATGACCAAGTTTCCACGTTTTGTAGGATGTACAGGCATTATGTTTCTATCAGAAGAATTTCTCCCAGAGGAAACACAGAAGAGACCAAGACTGAGACGCAGTCAGTCTAAAGAATGAATATCTGTACGCTCCCCTCCTGGTCTGGTCTAAGGAAATTCCCATTTGGGGGGGCAGGACCCCATTGCTTCAGTCCCCTCCCATAGCCTAGTCCTCAGACAGGAAACAAGGAATGACCCAGGGAGCCTTTCCCCATTGCTCCACTCCCATCCCACAGACAAAAGGAAGACCTGAAGGATGGTACTGTTATACCCAAAAGTTTGTCTACATCTATCCCAACCATGCAGGTGGTGCAATAAAAGATATCACCCAGAAGAATGTTTTGCCATCATGTATTTCCTGGACCATCACAGCAACAACATAACTTCAACACATTAAAAATCAGCATTCAAATCAATAAATTAAAATACTTTTTCAAACAATATATGGGGAGCTTATAATCAAAGGAAGTAGCCAAGACCAAGAATTAACCAAGACTGGACACTTATCCATAACAAGACTATCCAGTGATATTATAATGTTTTAGAAGGGCATTAAACCTACTATAGCAGGGCCTAAGCTAATCTCTAACTGTTAGAGGTAACAATGAGGCCAGATGTGACAGGCAAATTAATCCATGCCTGCTTAGAGAAAATCCTCAGGGGGTGAACTAACTTCAGATCAACCCGAGTTAACCCAGCCTAGTAAACACCTGTACGCATTCGCAAGACCAGCCACTCCCTCCAACCCCAGGACTGTGCTGTTCCTACCCCCAATCCTCCTCCCCGCAGACCCACCAGCCCTGAAGTTACTTACTTCAGGCTGCCTGTGCCACTCCCAGCAGTGGAGAACAGCTGCTTGTGCCAGTCCCACTTCAAGCAGCTAAACCTGGGTAAGCCACCTAAACCCAAACCAAGTCCTGACTACAATAATAACCTGGCTACTAATGATAAAATAATGATCAAATCAACAATGAAACCTTTCAAATGGTATTTTTAAAAGAAAAGGAAATCCTGATATGAAAGAAGCAAAAGAAAACCAAGTTTGTACTCAAACTTGAACGGTGTTTGTTTTTTTAATAGGGCTGAAATACCATCTGAAATACCAGATGGTTTCATACTTTACTCTGAAACAATATTCTATCTGATGCTGTCACCAGTAGTATATATATTAGTTAAAAGAGGTGCCTTTGAATTACAATTTGAATATTAGTGAGCTCAAATTAGAAATAAATTCCTGTGGCACTGCAGAAACTAATAGATAGTTATTCAAGAGAATGGACATTGCGATTTTCATTCATCTAGACAGCTGTCCTATAAGGCAACTAAATAAAATGACTCCTAGGACCAATAGAAATTCTCCAATGTTGTTTTTCTTTTTAATCTAACTCAAAATTTGACACTAAAGATAATTTACTTATTTTCTGGGGCACTAATGAATGGAATTCTTGAATGCCTGTATTAGAACAGGAATTTCCATTATAGAAAATGTAAAATCAACACTGGTTGTTAGCAGAGCACTAAATAATTCTGGATCAGATCAGCTAGCCAGCTTCACCTGGATGGTTTGGTAAACAGGGCTCACCTCAAACATTTATTTTAATACAGCTAAATACTGAAGACCTATAATACCAAAGCCACAGCTTTGAAAAATACAGTGGATAACCAAATGAACATGAGCTGAATATGAGGGCTGAGAACACAGCAAGAGTGAAGAAAGAACTGGACATTTGAAAGGACATCCAAAGTTATCAGAATTAATTACTGTAAAAATCTGAAAAGGATAGTCCTTCACACAGTCTTAGCCAGCTTCTAGCTTCTACAGAACTGGATGAGATCTGACATGGGAGACCAATTATCCCATACCTACTAGCTGCAAGGTTCTTATACTTCCTCTGAAACTGGCTATATACTGGATAATTTTCTAGACAGACCTCACATTTGTTCTATTTCCTAGGTTCTTTTGAGGTCCCTATGGAATACCATGGCTAAAAGCACTGCAATTCTTGGACAAGGAAACACCAAGAGAGTTTGAAAGTGCTACTACAAATGCATGCGTCATTGTTGAGACCCTTACTGAAATACTGTGTAGAGTTTAGCATTCATACTTCAAAAAAAGATATTGAAAAACAGAAAAATATTAAGAAAAAGTTACAGCAATGAGTACAAGATAGTCTAATCTAAAGTGAGAAAAATCTCATAATCTATTTAAATTTTTCCAAAAGAATGTAAGTGCCAAATTCTGAGTCCTAAACTCATATTATCTGTCTCACTGATTTGAGTAAGACCATACATATGGTCAAGTACTATTCAATGTGGACAAAGGTGAGAGTCTCCCCTTAAAGTGTCCCCACTAACAAGGGTATAGGAGATTTCACACAGAAATGTGTTTCAGCTTTTCCACATTTCTAAAAATCTCTCTCTTGCTCTTGCTCCTTTTTTGACTTCCTAGTTTGAAAGCCTATTAGGATGCATACTTTATTGACATTAGGCAGAAGGCAGGACAGAGATGCACCTGACAGACTAAATCAGAGACACAAAAGCTTTCATGAGCCAGAACTTGCTTTAATCACTTCAGCTCACAAAAGCTTTTGCATCTCTGATTTAGTCTGTCAAGTGTATCTCTACTTTGCCTTTTGCCTGACTTCAGCCGAACACAGCTAACTACCCCTGTGTTGACATCAGCGATACTATTACCCAGCAAAAAGAAAAATATATTCTACAGCTATGAGCTCCCAGAGGAAATCACAGCCCAATTATACTTAATAATGTAATTGATTTTAAAAAATACTTACGAGTAAAAAATGTTAAAACCAGTTAGGTTATAAGCAGCATCGCTAAAAAAGTGTAGTAATGCATATCCAGATGTAGTAACTACTTCAGGAACAGTTTCATTTCCACGTACTTCTGGGACAATTAGACCACTGGAAAACAGATTGTATAAAGTCAGGCATTGAAATAATAACATACCCAAAACACTTTGAAAATCTTATGAAAAGTTTCTTAGAATAACACTGAATGAAGCCTGCCAACAATTCTGTATCTTAAGAGGGATGGGATTTCTCAGATTTTAAGTAACACTAAAAAGTTCCCCAGAATTTGATTATACATATGCATGAGCTGTCAATAGAATATTGTGAGCCAAGTATTAATGCACACAGATGGAAAATCTGCCCCTGAGCTTCAAACAATCGAGCAGTCAACTCATTTACTCTCAGTGGGAGCTGAATACCTAAATGACATTTGTGGCTTTGAAAATTTTCCCCATTTCTTCTAAAATAATTAGCTATACCTAGAGATCATGATTTTAAACTAAACTTCATGGAAAAATTAAAGTTTCTAGAGAAAAAGAAAATATGCTTTAAAAACATTCAAAAGAATGTTTTCCATTAAACAGACATTAAAAGAGAGACGGGCAAATCAATTCATAACTGCACTGAAACAGAGAAAAAGCATCCTACACATAAATCATGTGGGTAACCGTATGGTAAATGTAAAATAAATTAAAACTTTAGGAAAACCCCAAAGGAAATTTTAAATATATAAATGTATAACAAAATAAAAATAATAATAAAAATTACCCACAAATTAGAAAAACTCTAGGAACTGCTTAATATTAAAGACTATACATAATAGACGTTTGAACCAGAAATAGAAAATATACTGAGGGAAGTGATTAAAAAGAATGAACAAACAGGTCACAGAAAAAAACCTGTAAAACTTTTATTCACCCTCTCTCACCTCTCCTGTCTATAGCATACCCATCTCCCCTACCCTTTCAAGGTAAACTAGAAATCATGCTTGTGAAGGACAACCAACCATGCGTATAGAAGGAAAACTACCTGTCACTGGGTAATTATCAGGGGGAACTATAAAAAAGGTACCAGGGAGCCAAGATAATAGAGAGGGCTACACAGCAGCCTAAAAGAGTTTTGGTAAGAGGTTAAATAATGAACCTATATTTGACAATTCGGGGGTACTGCTTATGAAATCATCATCTGTTTGTTATCTAGCAAAAACATGAACAACATTTCAAAAACACTAAAGTCGAAGAATGTTCCTGTCCCAAACAGCCTGTGACCTTAAGCTGCTCATTTTAGATAACCTTGGGAATACATCCTATCTCCTTAGAAGTCAATACTGAACTACCCTGATTTCATGGGATTGGGATTTCAAGCCCCCAGGTCTAACCACAGGATAAGACGTATTTTACTATCTGCCCTGTAAATCTAATGTGACAACCAGTGCATGAAAACAGCTCTAAACTGCCAAATAAACTCTGTGGCCAGTCATGAAGAACAAAAAAAATACAATCATAAGTGAAATTGTAATTCTTTTGGTAAAGTTTCGCTAAGAGTTTTATAGAAAGATAGGAACTAGCCAATAAAAATCATTTGAACATGTCCCCAATTTTTTTTTTTAAATGGAAAATTTAACAAAAGTTCAGCTTAAAGTCCTGTTTTCCATCTCTCCCCTAGTGTAAACTTTAGAGGGGTGGAAATCTATTTTAGTTAACTTCTACTAAAAGTTGCAAACCAAATAACTCAGGCCACACTATTACTTGTTTATCTTATTTGCTCATTATTTGACAGCTACAGTATGAAGCAACACAATGTCACAAGGCTAATAGAGTACTAGATTTACATACAAACATTTTATTTTCTTTCTTTCTTTTCTTTTTAAACGTAAGTAGGGCACGGATGTGAAGTAAGAAAATTTAACAGCTTTTACCCTGTAATCTTGGTTTTATATTGCTATATTTATTTACTTATATAGTAAGATGCTTATTTTTACATTTCTCACTAAATGAATGTATGATCTTTGTTTCTTTGAAATTTACCCCTGGGTGTCTTGGAGTAAGAAGGATTGAGGTTTTGTTTCTGTGTGCGCACTCTACTAAAAATACAAACAAACTCCCTTTTGTACTGAGAAGTATTTACTTGATACCAGCTTTGAAAAAAAGTCAGACATTTAATTCAACTGAGGGCAAAACAAATCAGAACAGTGTCATGCAGGACCATAGTCCTATTCATTTCAGATGCATTAAATACACTAACTACAATATTTCAATTAACTCCACTTCAATCTTAGCACTCTCTTATTGCACTGTTTCATTTTAGAGAGATGTAACCTATGTCAGAAAGTTGCAATGTGTTCACAGTCCCTACCGACTTGGTAAAACTTGTAGAGTTAGTTCATCCAGAAGTCACATTTCTATACTTCACCTAAACAAAATTACAGGATTTATTGATCTCCTTTCTCCAGTGATCTTAGGAATGACTGCAAGACTGCAAAGAACACCTAATAGTTGCAGGATCAGATCCATAAGCATGGCAAATATATTTGTGTACATCACAACAGCATGATTAATATATTTCTTTTCTCAATAAATACAATCTGGCTTAAATGTCAGATCATTGTTCTAGGTATCTAAACTCCTATGGACTTTCTTTGTTATATGAGGATTCTCTTTTAATTATTTTCAACACATTTCTACAGAATACTAGAGAAAAAGCTTTCAATAGTACTGAAACATTGATGTATGTCAGAAACTTTTCAGCCCATGATCTTTTGCTTTGCCTTGCAAGTTACCTAAGCTAAGTGCAGACAAAAAGCCTGAGGCTGAATTGATTCAACCTTCACAGTTACTCTAAGCTGCACAGCCTGAACTGATAAGCAAGTGAACGGACATTCACTTCCGATTCCAGAAATGCAGCCACGTGCCTGCAGTGGCCCAGAAGAGAAGCCAGGGGGTTCTAGAGAATGCCTCCCTGCTCAGCAGATCTTCCCACCCTGCAAGGGAGAGTTTGCAGGGGAGGTGCAAAGCATCCTGGGATGCTGAGGGACCATGAGTTAACTAGAATGTGGATGGGATCTGGGACAGAAGTTCAATAAACCAGTTTCACCTAAGTCAGTTAAGCCTGATACTATATCCATACAGGTTTATCTTAAACCAGGTTCAGCCATTTTGAAAGTGGTTTATGTGCACTGAACGTCTGTTGTTCTACAGATTTAAACTGGTTTCTCATCACTTGTACCAGTTCATGTGCAACTTCTGGCCCTAGAGAAGTGAATCGCCCTAGAGAAGACTATTATCAGCACTCTGTAAACAAGTAACTAACCCAGAGCTGATCCAGTTGCATAATAATTCCTGTGACCCGAGATAAAATTAGAGCAATCAAGATCATGTGTGATCTCTACAATTATCAATTTTTTTCTAAGATTCTTTTCACCTTTGATGAGGAGAAAACTATTAGTATTACCTAAGGATATTTAATCATTTGCCATCATGCTTTCCATTCTAATGGACAAAAAGATCTTATGCAGTTGGTAACTCTGGTTAACTCCAAAGGAGAGGTCCCTCAGCAAGTAACTTCAAGCTGCCAACCTGTAAATAGCTTAATGACTATTCTTAAGTAGTGCAATGTCTCTGTTCTGTAGAAAGACTCTTGTATTAGTATAGATAGCACTGCTATCAGCTTTACTGCTCCACTAAAAAGTTGGCATTTAGGACGTGCCCAGTAAAGGACTTAATATTATTACCCTTGAGCCAAAAGCAAAATGATTATGTTGGATTAGTACCAGCAATATGTTTATCTATCTTCTAGTATAAACAAAGGAAACAAAAACTACCAGTAGCACACTCAAACCACTAGTGCTATTATTTTCCTCAAATTCTGTCTTACTAGTAACAATAAAGAATTATTAATTAAAAATACTTACCTAAATACAGCTATTAAAGGTGCATATATTGAATCGCCATCATAAACATACATATGGTCCCAACTACATTCTGTGGCAAAATGATTAAATCTTAATCTAAGTATTGCATTAGGACTGAAAGAGAAGAGAAAATATTATTTAGCAAAAGCATGAACTCAAACTTATAACATCAAAAGTAGCCATAACATTAGCCATATTAGAACATTAAATTCTAACATTCATATACATACACATAACAAGTATAGATAGTACTTTGTGTATAACTATATTTAAATTAAGCAATTATTTAATTTGTTGTCATAAAGGATTTTAAGTAGGGGTGCAATGATAGAGATTTTTGGGCCTGATACTGATAACTGAATTTTAAGAAGGCATATCTGCCGATACCAATCCAATTTCTGATATGCAGCCCCGCAGACCGAAGAGCACTGTCCAGCTGGTAAGTCCATTGTGGTGGAAGAAGAGGGGGAAGGGGCATGGGGGGGCACAGATTGAGGTCCCTGCAGTGAGGGAGTGGGGCTGGGACAGGCACTGACCAGCCAGCCTGGGGCAGGGCGTGGGACAGAGCT